CCAAATTTTTGTTTTGATGAATTTGATATTTGTGATAGTGTGTACTGTTCATATTCGAGCTTGAGCCATTACATTGCCTTTTGTGTTGTTTATTCTTTGGAAATTAATGTTAGCAGTGTTTGAGTGAGAGTTTAGTATAGTTATTGAAATTTAGTACAAATTATCGATTAACTTTTACCTGCAACAGTTTCAAAGTGAACTCTTGGACTGTCTACCCCGAAATGAATTTGTCTCAATGTTGATGCGGTTTTTTATCACTCGCAGAGTTATAATATTGTCGATATGCGTGCTCAAAATCAACGTTAAGTGTAGGCAAATAACAAATAAAGTCCAACTTATGTGGGTGTTGTACCCGCAACATTTAGTGTATTCTATAAGTTTTAAATTGATCTGGTTTTAAAGCTTTTTTTCATCAGTCAGTTTTAATGTAAATGATTACTTTACTTCGTATTCCACACGTATCATTTATGAAAAGATAAGTGTCCCTATACCTGTGGAAATCACTGACACTTACGCTAGCAATAATTTTAAGAGGTGTAGACGGCAATGTCTCACTTCCAGTCGTTAAGTCCAATAGAGCCAGGGCAAAATATGCCCTCTCATTTTCCCAGTATTTGTTAATTTTTTCAATGAATAACGAGCGATTGTACTCATTACTGGAAGAGTGCCAACACGGTTTGTGCCCTCTTCCACGTGTGCCAATAAAAGCCCCAGGGCGCTTAAAACACTACAGTCTGTCTGCGTCAGTGTTTACGATCAAACCTTTGGCTCCCATGTTGTGGGGTAAGTTTAGAACTTTAAGTTGATACTGCAAGAGACATCCAAGATGTTGATTGTATGGTTAACAGCTATTTGATTAATGCTTGTAGTTTCAAAAGCGTAAATTTAGCACCTTAGATATAACAGTGAAGTTAGTTTTATATTGGACATTCACTTGGTAAGTACAGCAAATGTCGTATTTCTTGGAAACACATTGGACATTCACAGAGGTTTGTACAGTGAATGTCTCATTTTTGAGATGCTGGACATTTGGCATTCGGATAGATTTGTGCAGCGAATGTCTCTCGTTTGAAATACTGGGTATTTGACCAGTGGGTATAACGAGGGATATTTATGTCCGGGCACCTGGGGCTGCACACATTTTTCAAAGGAGCACCAAAAGACAATGAGCTGCAGCGGCCTACAGCTGCATGGATTTCCAACGGGGGGCACGGGCATTTGCTGGGGTAACGTGTCCCCGTGTCCTCCCTAGTTATGCCATTGTATTTCACTCTGGTTTGTTCAGCAAAAACCTCTTTCTGAGCAGTGAACATTCGGATAAGTTTTTACATCAAGGATTTTATTAGACATTTGACATTCACATAGTTAGAAATAAACCCGTAGGAAGTTGCAGTTTGTTTTTGTTTGCCAAAACCATTGAACACCTTCTGTACGAATTATTCACTTAGTTCATGTGGTAGAAAGACCAAATTTTGATACTTCTATAAAAATTAAGTAAAATACGCTTTTGCTGATAAAACGCAGAATTATTGAAAGTAGAAGATTTGTAAAAATGATTTCATGCAAAAATTAGCCATCTCCCGTGTAATAAAATGTTTGCAAACTGGGTCTTAATGTAACATATGTTTCCGTGCAAAACTGTTTATAATGCACAATTTGTAACGGAAACATTATAATTAAAGGATCATTCTCACAGTTCCAAATTAATGCTTTGCCAAACTTGTGGTAAAAATGAGGACCAGGCCAATCCTTGTACCATGTCAATGACGATATCAGGGGGCCATTCCGGGCACCACAATTCAAACCATTCGTATCGATTTTAAAACCAAAATGGTGCAAATGAATTCTGGGTTGATGATTTTCTGTAAAAGTGTTGTTTTGGGTATAACAAAGACTCGATTAAATCAGGTGGAATGGAAATAAATACCTTTATTAATGCACTAACGTTGGATTTTTACTTTTTACAAAACGTTTTCGATTAAATTTTGTTTAATGAAAACGTAAAAAAATGCGCATTTTGATTTATTTCAACATATGCTTCTGAAATCTTAATATTATTTTCTTTATAAGAGTGCAAAATACACTGGCATAACCTTATCATTGTACACCGTCCATACATTCTCTGATCTTTGCAGTCTTTTTTTAACTCTATCGATGCTTAAAATTTAGTCCTCGTGAAATCACATTGTTTCTTTTTCAAAACAGTCCAATCATGCTTGATTTCGTTCCTGCATCTTTCTAAGCCTGGAAATGTTTTATTGAACTTATAATTAGCTTTTCCTCATCCATTTTTGATAGGCTTTGAACGCACGGAACAAAACGCGAAACTATCAGCGTAGTATCAACATTTAAAACAACCACAGACTTCTAAATTTTTCACACCGTAAGCATCAAGCAACTGGCACTAATTCTTCAATATTTCAACCATCATCAGATAACCTTCGCCATGAATTTTCTCGTTGTTATAGTGACTACGGTTTCCCTGGCAGGTAAGTTTACGTCCTTTAGTTTACTCTTGAAGCATTCTTTATTATAGCCCTATGAACAGATGGTGCATCACTTGTGTTTACCGCTTTGCATCGATTGGATAATTGTAACGACTCGAAGCACATATAACCAACTTAACCGTACTTTTTTGTACTTATACATTACTGATATATCCATCCACCACTGAGTTATTAAAAAGTAGTACAATTTGTTGTGATTGCCAGTCGTAAGCTGCAGGTGTTACCTCAACCTCTGATGCACTGTGTCCGTATACGACTGTTGTTCACCCGATTGAGAGATTAGTCGATTAGTTGAACGGGTCAAAGCTGAAGTGTTCGTGGTGCCTGTCGTCTTTTTCACATACACAAGTTCCATTGGTCACCTTTCGTATGAAATGATGTAATATTAATGATAATGCTGACACGTTTCGATTTTAAGAACGATCGTCAAACAAGTCATGTTGTAGGCTATTATTTCGTTTTCTTAGCAGGTGTTGATACTTGCAATATATACACAAATATTTATGTAAATTTTCTTCCTTCAAACTTTCAATATTTTTTGCCCTGTAATACCGGTAACAAGCCAACATGTTCAACTAATTGTGTTAGGATGACTGCTCAAATTCCAAATAATTTTCATTTCTCTCTTTGACCCGACAGGCGCTGCGTCAGCAGGGGAGATTCAGAACCTATACCAATTTGGCAAGATGGTCATGTGCCTGGGAAATCTTAACGTCCTGGAAGGGTTAGAATACAACGGCTATGGCTGTTATTGTGGCCGCGGCGGGAAGGGCACACCCTTGGACGACACTGACAGGTACGTAACACCAATGCTTAAAGTCAACCCTTTCAAGCTGATTTGTGCTAAGCTGTCTCTTTAAGGTTCATCCTCCTCCCCTCCCAAAAAGAGTTCTTTTAATCAAATGTTAAAAAGAGTGCTAATAGTTGTAATTTTCAGGGTAAGTCTCTGAATGGCATACTTGGCCGATTTAAAACAGGATTGCAATATTTCCATTCAATGTCCTTGTAGAGGATTTGAGGTTAATTCACTGGTTCAGTCAAAAACGTTATGTGTCGACCAGGTATCCACAAACTTTGGCATTACTGAAATACCCAGCGCCATTTGTAAAACAAGTCCATAAGTGCGAAGCTTTAAGTGAATAGAAAACCTGAATTAGCCACCACTGTATATGATACGGCCCTCTGAGCTCTGGACCCTTTTTATTAAATTACATTCAAATCCGTTTCTATTCAGGTGTTGTAAACAACACGACGAATGTTACGAGAGAGCAACGGATGAAATGGGCTGCTGGAGCATAGAAACGTATGCCACCACTTACGACTACACAAAATCCAAAGTTTCTGGCAAGTGTACCATCAAATGTAGTAAGTCATAATTATTAAGTTTGATCTATTCTTTACATTTGGATTCATACTTTGCTGCAATTGGATGCACGTACTTGGTCATGTAGTCACAACTGCGTCAATTCAAATAAATAATACTATCTTAATGAAAATGAATTTTAAAAACATTGAAGAGTGAAATAAGATATAAAAATTGATTCGCATAAAATTTCTTTCTATCAATGAATTTGAGTCTAAGCAGTAAGCTTGATGCGCCTGCATTGTCAAATTACCACAAGCTATTGGTCCAAAAGGTATATAACGGGCGCGCACCAGGTGTCAATCCAGTTCGTGAGTGTGACGTCAACCTTCGGGCAGCCACGCTCAAAAGCGAAGACTGTTTTCTCCACTTGGAGATTCTGATCACCGGGTCAGTTTACGGTCCACGTATGTTCATGCTCCTCATTTAGTTTACAGCCAGAAGCCAGTAAAATGACTTTTTGACTTGGACATGTGGATCCCAAAAGTAATTGATCAACATCGAGCTCAGGGTGAGAGTGTACGTGTATGCCATGCCCAAAATCCGAACATCTAGTTTTTGACCGCTGTCGGTCGTGTCGGACTCAGTGCAGAAATTTGAATCTGCATGAAAAACGAACTGCATTTCAGGCAAATTGCTTTTTGATCTTAAAGAAATGAACCAATGGATACAAACGATTCATCAGTCTTCCAGACAGTATCACCGAAGACCTGAGGGTGAAAATGACGAAATTGGGTCCCAATGAAAAACGAAGTGAATTAAAAAAAAAATTTCTACCTAGAAGTAATGAACTTCTTGATCACAAGAGTTAGTAGTCTTTCGCGTGACATCAAAGTTATTTGAGGGTATAAACATGGCAAAATTGTGAAAATTAGACACAAAGTTAGCAAAAAACCCAATATTTTTTTCATGAAGTGAAGCGACACGTGTGCGTCGGTTCGGGGTAAGCAAGCCCTGAGCCCACATTGGGTGAGATGTTATCCTCCAGAAAGAGAGAGCAGTCAATCAAAGTTAATGATACTTGATGGTGGGTTTATTGACTTTCAGCCGTAACAAAATCTCAGCTACACCAAAATTCAGCTGAGACAAAGTCCCAGCAGAAACAAATACCTGCTGTAGCAAATCCTGAGTAAAAATAACTTGCATTGCACAGTCATTATCTGTGATTAATACAATCATATATGATTCAAATTATAAATTACAAAGAAAATCACACCGTCATCCAGCACCTTGCCAACAATCCCTGGATTAATTAAATGTACTTGATGCGCTGCATGCGTTCAATGCTGTTCTGCAATATGACATTAAATTTTAGCATAAATAAAAACAACAATAATGACAGCACCAGAGGAGTAATTGTCTGCAAAGTAAAATGTAAACCCATAATGATCCAAATGTGTAACGTTATTTGTGCAGTTGTGTCGCCCATTGACAGCTTGGAAAGATTATAAAAGCACGCTCGCACAAACTGCAAGTCCTGGGTCAGGGGTCACAGCAGAAAAGTACAATGTACATGTACACAAGTTCATGCATCCATGGCACGTACACGCACCGGTCCACCCATGCCATACTACATGCACGTACATTGAAACGAGACAGGAAAGACGTGAGAAAAGGTTGCGTGACTGAAGTCACTAAGAGAAGCAAAATGTCCCCAATTTACACATAAAATAAATACATGGCGTTCGTGAAAAGGTCGCCAAGATGCCCAATGTCCCTCTACGAATAGCGGATATTTACCAGTTGGCCAAATCACTACCAGAACGCTGGAAAGCCGTGTGCTCAAGCCATGAACTCAGTGTTTCCCCTTGACATGTTCTGGTCAAGACACCAAGACTGGGCAAGTGCACTTAAGTAGGCGGAGTCCCACAGATTATTATCCATATTCATGAGTTCTCAACATCCATAATTATCCTTTGTCAAAAAATGGACATTTTCCCCTTCAGTTCGTTTCGGGAGTTCCAATTTCTTACCAGAAGTTATATATATCACCATTTGATAGATTCTTTGCAATTCATTCACACACGAGGTCTTCAAATAAATGGCAGGACAAATCCCTCAAGGGGTTACCACCGATATTTGTCGTCGACTAGAATATCAATTTTCAGGCCGACCATATGTTACTATTGCGCATGCGCGAAAACACAAACTAAATGCAGGCACAGTCTATGGGGACCGAACACACATCGGTCGTGCCTAACCTGTACGACTGTTTTATGGTAGCTAATACATCCCTCAGGTCAGCTTTAACTGCACTTCATTGCGCTGCTGTGAAAATACAAGTAATATGAGGTCGCTACCCAAACAGCCACGACCGTGCAGTCATTTCTGTAACTGAACAATGTGATCCAGTTCCTGGTAGCGAGCATATATGGCGTCCTTCAGGTGGCTGATCCTTCAAGAACTTTTACTCAGCAGTAGTTGGGGTCTGGCCAATGGTAGTTTACAGGTTTGTGATGTATGCCTGGAGTGAGAGCTAAAAAAATAAAACGTTATGACCATATTTGGTGATACGTGTCGATCTCTATCACTGCATCGTTGACACCAGGATTTAAACCACGCCCACTGCACATGCGCTGCATGTATAGAGTTATGGATGCATTGATCGCCGTTTACATGGAACCATAACCGGAAGTTAATGCACAACTTCAGCGACAATCCAATGGGAGCCTGCAAATGGTGACGCATCTGCCTGTGTCACTAACGAACCGGTGGGAGTTGTGCCATTGCAGTCATGGCTTCTAACTCTTACTGTGTTGCACTGTATACCACTGACACCAACTCTCTTGTGCTTTTTTATGTTGAGCGTAATCTTGTGATTAGTAGTAGTAGTAGTAGTATTAATGGTTTATTTCAAACACTGTGATTGTAGCTCGGAGGCTGAATTGCCACAGTAAACACATATTAACTGTTCAATAAATAAAACATTAAAGCATTAAACAGTTAAGGATGTGAAGTAGACGCATCTCATCTAAAATAAACACAAAACAACAAGCAGAAAATGAAAATCACTTAAAAAAATAAAACAGAAAATTGCACTGTTATGACCAATGCTCACAAAAACACAAATCAACTACAATCAACCCTTAACAGATCAACAATTCAGCAGACTTACATAATATGGTATGGGACTACTGTGACGTTTGGTCTTACATGCTAATGTGGACAGGTTTGTGGCATTTCTGAGTTGATATTGCACTTGACTATGTCTCGACTGTGGTAACCACGTATGGAATGTATTGGAGGACTTCAATTTGGCTGCAAAGTCTGAACAAAGGTCTTTTTGACGACTTTGAAGAGACACAAGATTGCATTTAGTCAGAGCTGATTCAAAGTCATATCATAAACATATTTCAGACTCAGAACCCTGTTATTAACAGTGTTCCCAGAATTGACAGTTCCATTGAATTTAGCCAAAAAACCTAGTGGGCCAACTTTTGTCCCTTGAGGTAGACCACCTTTCAAAACATTGAAGTCAGACAACACATTTTTGTACCTGACACAATCAGAGCGCCGAGTTAAGAAGTTACATATCCACGGGATTAAAGATGGGCGTGTGCCCATACGAAGTAGATCCTGAATGAGAACATTGTAATCAACATGGTCAAATGCCTTACTAAAATCTGTAATTACAAGGATCCTTACTATAACTTCTTACCGTGACGGATTCAGCATGAGAACAAAAATTGTCTACAAGCTTAACAAGATAATGAGTTGTTGATACCCCTTTTGTATAACCAAATTGGTTTCGATCTAAATTCATGTGAATATCTGACGTAACCCACTAAACAACAAAATGTTCGGCCACTTTAGCAAAATGGTTAGTAACGGCCGTAACTAGCCCTAACTTATTCCATGTGAGCGGATAACACTTTTTCGAAATAGGAACAATAATTGCCTTTTTCCACTGGTTTGGAAAAAGACTTTCCTGGTACGATGTATTAAAGATATTTGTGAGCGGCTTACTCAATTCATCGGCAAAATCAAAAATAACTGGTACTGGGATTCCCTTATGCGTACATTTGTCTGGGGATTTATTATTGATTTTTCAATATCTTTCAGCAAATTGACTCTGTACACGTTTTTGGAGGCACTGTTTTGGTAACTTAGCAAAATTCGATCGTCATCAAAGTTATACCAAGCAACCACCATGAAGCGAAAACAATACGTAAATATTCAGGTCGTGGTGACGTCATCAAGCAATTTATTATTAAATTTTGAATATTTAAATATTCCATTTAATTTATAAAAATCCATATAAAATCAACTGTGGCCTCCCGTAACATTCTGTTTGCAGCAAGTGCAAGGAGAAAATGTGGTCTTTAATTCATCTCGTGAGGGTCAAATCACGTGAGCCTTTCTTCCAGTCGGAACCAGAAGTGGTCTTATTGCTTAAAAGTGGTAATAGGTATCACGTTTTTTCAACGGTGTTAGTCTGTTGGGGTATGGTATTCTTCAAATCATCTACTGACGACGTCACCTAATTGTTGAGCGCCCTCTAGCGACAGGTTAAAAATTAAAAAAAAATGAATTTTGCATACATGTCTGTGGCGAAGTTTGTCTGAATCGTCTGGAAATTGATGTAGATAATCATCTTTATCCAGTTAACACGTGTGTGAATTGTGGGGCTGATGACGTCATCAGACTGGAAGTTACAATAACAACTTCTTTTATTTTCAAAATTTGGTAAAAAAAAATCAACTGTAAGAGATATAGACGTGAATTGTCCACGAAATGCTCCATGAGATGCATAACTGGTGCACTAATTCACGCACATGAAGCCCTGTCGACAAAAACCCCCTTACAATATAAATTGCCAGCTCAAAAATCCCATTCGCATACTGTGTCTAGGCTACTGTGTGCGTGGGGCATATTCTTGGGACTTGGCAAATTGCCGACATCGTGGTGGGGGAGAGCGGATCGTATTGTATGGAGCGCCAAAAGGGACAAATGTTTAAAATGTTTAATCTGTGCCTTTTCCGCAATAACTATAATGTTTGGT